TTTTTATTTAACCTTTTTATAATTAACAAAGAATAGAGGTTAGTAAAATTTTGATCAGTATAGTGGCATTGCAGATAGGCTTCAGAAGTAATTTGACATGTCAGCATTTGGATTAATCTTGCCCAAATTAATGTCTCATCATATTCTCCTTACTGTGAGTCATACTACCTTGTGTAACACATCGAATCCTGTGCATGTAAGCCCTCACGACATCCATGGTGTTATAATTCCATAGCACTACATACCATTGTTGTACAGGGCACACTAGTGTCAACTCTTCGTGATAAATTCATGGACGTATATATTACAATTGCTGAAGATAAAAAAAGACATGAAGGAGAAATAGTGAGTCTGTATGTGTGTAAGTGTAGTGCTGATGGTGGTGTTTGGAGGTAGAGTTGTAATTTAGATAGTGAAGCAGAAGGCTCAATGAAGAGGTAATTAAAGTAAGGAAATGAGTCGTGCAGGTGGCTCTAAGCAGTGGGAATAAGTGCAAAGGCACTGAAGCAGGAGTGTACTAAGCATGTTTGAGGAACAACAGAGAAGACTTTGTGGCTGGAGTAGAGTGAGCAAGTGAAGTACTCACTGTACTGAATGAGAAGGGACAAGATCAGAGAGGTAACCAGAGGCCATTATCACATGGGGCCTTACTGTTCATTGTGAGGACTTTGGCTTTTATTTTAAGTGAGAAGGGGCACCAAAGACAGTTTCTGAAGATAGGAGTGATATAATTTGACTTAGGCTGTTGTCTGCAATAGACTGTAGGAGTCGTAATTACAGAAGCAGGGACACCTGTTATAAGACTATTGTAGTAATCTGGAGAGAGGTGATGGTAGTTTGTAGCATGGTGGTAGCAGTGAAGTTATTAGATGTAGTCTGTTCTGGATGTATTTTGAAGGTGATAGAAATGGAATTTTCTGACAGATCAATTATGTAGAATGTAAGAGAAAGAGTTAGGACTGTTGGTTTGAACACTGAGGAGGGTTGCAGGAAGAGCAAGTTAAAGACAGTCAGGTACTTAGTTTTGGACATTAAGTTTTAGATGCTTATTAGACATTGTGGTGAAAGTGTTAAGTAGGCACTTGCATATAAAAGTCTGAGGTTTAGAAGAGCAATCTAGGCTAAAGATATAAATTTGGGAACCATCTCCACTAACGTGGTGTTTGAAGTTATGAGGTTAGCTAAGCTCATCAGGGGAATGAATGTTGATTAGGAAGAAAAATCTAAAGACTGAGCCCTGGGATACTTCTACTTTAGAGGCTGAGGAGGGGAAAAGGAACAATCAAATGAGACTAAAAAGACATGGCCAGCGAGATGGGAAGAAAACCAGGAATGTGGAGGGTCCTGAAAACCACATGAGGAATGTAATCAAAAAAGAATAAACAACTGTGGTCAGAGGTGTGTTCATTGCTGCTGATAGGTCAAGATGAGCACTGACAATTGACTGTTGGCCTTAGCAATGGTCATTTTTGGTTCTAGAGAAAATGGATAAAGAGGAAATGGGGAGAAGAAATATAGGATCTCTTTTCTAGGATTGTTTCTATAAAAG